AGACCAGCAATTATGAGAGAAAAAGCAAAAGGGTACAGAAATATAATCACAAACCAGGAAATAAACCTCTTAAATTGATAAAAACTGGTCTGACATACTCAGAAAAATTACTACTAAGGTCAAAAATGCCAACATCTTGATTTAGATATCAACTCTCTTCTAGTGGGACCACGACTTAGGACCTCCTGCCTCCAAAGTATGTCCCCTACATTCCACTTTATCCTCCACATCGATCTAATTAAAAGATCCACGTGACCTCATGCTCCTGTTCTCCAGTTTAAATGACTTCACTTGCTCAGCCTCTGTCAGGTGGTTAGAATCAGAATTCATCTGCATGATAATCAAATCCCTTCAAAACCCAGCTCTAGCTTCTCTTCCCATCCCTGCTCACATACACTCACGCTCTAGATAACTGGGTAAGAGTGTTCTCTCTGCCTACAACAAAATTCTCTCATCGTGAACTATCCATCCTGCAGACCATTTTATGGATGAGAGTTGAGGTTCACAGAAGTAACTTGTCCAAAGACATACAGTTAGTGACAGAACCATAAGTAAGATATGAATTCTTCCTTTGCTATTCCTAAAGACCTTTGTAAGTACCTGCTACATTTGTCAAATGTATAAGACTTGTTTAAATGTCAAGCTCTTCCCGAAAGTCTAATATAAGCTTCTCCAAGATGATCCTTTGGGGTGAAGGAAGAACAGATTTGTTTAGTTTAAAAAAAATAAGTTTTACTAAGATTAATGTAAGGATTCATACTTGGTCTGAAGGGTCAGATGGTCACACATCAAGAACAGCAAGGACTATTGGCAGAAACCCAGGGAAAGAGTGGAAGTCTCACAAACAATGGGTTTTACTTACAGCACACCATGATTCACTGTGGTTTATGTTTGCCCAGTTAGGTAGACTTAGGAATTATTCAGTTTTAACTGAACTGACCCTCACAACATCGGGAAGCAGCTTTTTTAAAAAGTCCTGCAAAGAATTTAATAATGCAAGCACAGCCAACAAGAAAATGACAAGGCTGGCTCCTAAGTAGTTGAAGCTATTCCTCTTCTATACTACAATGTCATATAATCTAGTAGGTCAATCACGTAGCTCTTATTAAAAATTATTTTAATGAGAACAAAAGGCACCGTTAACGGAAATTATTTTTTTTTTCTAATTTTCCTTAAATATCTAACTTGTATTATTATTACATACACTAATACACTATTATTATATTGGCACATGTATATAACGTGTGAACAATTAAGGGGCATGCACAGGTTTTACTAATTAGGGGATACACTCAGAATATCCACTAATTGTGTTTTTTTTTTTTCCTCTTGAAGGTAATGCAGCTTTCCCAGTTTGCCCATGACTGAGGAAGTATGGTATAGGGTATAGGCTGAATAATGCGCCCCCCTCAAAGATGTCTGCATCCTAATCCCTAAATACGTTACCTTACATAGTAAAAGAGACTTCGCAGATGTGATTAAATTAAGGATTATGAGATAGGGAGATTATCCTGGAATGTCTGGGTGGACCCAATGTAATCACAATAGTCCTTATAAGAGGGAGAGGCAGGAGGACCAGTCATAAGTAGACATAAGGAATGAAAAAAAAGGTTGGAGTGCTGATGTGAGGAAGGGGCCACAGAATACAGGCGGCCTCTAGAGAAATATTCTCCCCTCAGAGCTTCCCAAATGAACCAGCCCAGTTGACATCTTAATTTTATTTAGCCCTGTGAGACATATCTTGGACTTCTCACCCACAGAATTGTAAGGTAATAAATGTTAGTTGTTTTAAGCCACTAAATTTGTGTCAATTTGTTACAGCAGGCATAGGAAACTAATGCAGGGAATTCCTAGGTTATGCGACTTCCAGTGTTAAAACCAAGACAAGCTGGTGACCCTCTATCTTAGATTTTCGGTGCTCATAAAAACATCTGGCACAGTAAGTATGAGAAAAAAAATGTGGTTGAATAATGTTATGATGAAATATTTACATAATACGCTGTTACTGTTACAAAGATCTCTCATTTGTATTATTTCATCGTCCTAACAACCCTGTGAAGTATGAGTGGATCAATTTCCCCATTCTGAGGATATAACAACTAAGGTTCAAAGAAGTTACATAACATGTCAAAGAACACACATCTAGTAAATGATGGAGCCACATATATAAAATACAGGCCTTCTGACCTACAAAGGACTATGGTACTCAGGAGCCTGTGCTGCCTAAGTTCAAATTTAAGCTCCAAAGCTTAACAGCTGCTTAACCTTAGCCAAGTTACTTAACCTCCATACTTCCTCACATGTAAAATGCAAAAGGAAGTTAATAATAATACCTATCTTACAGGGCTCTTATAAAGATTAAAGGTGCTATTGTCAAGTAAACATCATGTGCCTGACACATAGACAGGTGTCAGTAAATATTAGCTATCATTGCTCTGTGCTGCAGCTATAGCGCATTTATGCCTAGAATACTCTATTCTACTTGATCAAAAATCATAAAGTATGCAACAGGAAAAAACAGCAAAAAAAAAATGAGTAATGACATAGAATAGATGAAATAGTTTTTCTGTGAACATAATCTAAGGTTAGTACTCTAGGCTGGAAGATAAAAGCAGAGGGGAGACATAATCAAGATCTATGAAATTATGATAGTAAACTTACCAGCAATATTGGTAGCATGAGAGGGGAAACCTTAGAAACTAGAATACTGTAGAATAGACATACAGCACTCAAAATCTTCAAAACAAATGGATCACAAAATTTTGAGACAATTTGTGAATAACAAAAGAGACAAAAGTGGCTACTAAAAGACACTCATCAACTCTTGCAAACGTTTTATCTAACCCTAGGACTTGCTGGTAGCCCTTTCTGTTAAAGGGAATGGGGTTGTTGGGAAAAGAAATACCACACCAGATTGCAGCAAAAGTTAGAAATCCATTAAGTGCCATTAAATTCAACTTGGCAAGAAAGCAGAGTCTTCAAAGAAAAAACGCACCCTTTGCCAATCATCACCACGTACCACTCCTCTTCCCCAATTTCATTCATCATCACCCTTCAAAAAAAAAAAACCTTTAAGCCTTAATGTCCTATTTTAGTGCCTTTTAATCGTTTTGCTAAAGAATAATTAAAATGTCTCTAAATTTGGTGGTCTAAACAAATCTCAAAATAAACTAACCCAATAGTTTCCTAAGCTAAAGTTTCTTAAAATGTTCACACTCTTTTCTTAAACTCTCCACATCCATTTTCCTCACTAGGAGTTAAAAAACTTTACAGAAGTTTATTACTACTTTCAATACCGGGCCAACCTATTTTTTCCCTAACAGGGAAATTCATTAGCTCTTCACTAGAGCTAATGATTGAAGATGAGAAAACATATTGAGGGTTAGCTTAATCAAAAGAGCCAGAAATTCCCAAAAGAAATAGAAGCAGAGTTAACTTAAATTTACAAATGATTGTAAGAATCACATTCTATTGCTTGATTTCATTTACACCATCTAACTTAAAAAAAAAAAAAAAAAAAAAAAAAAGCCAGAGATACTGGTGTTAGTTTTTAAACTTGAATGAAAGTGTTAACCTTTTCCTTATTCGCCATTTCAGAAAGTTTTGATGAATAAAAACATGGTTTAAAGATGGGCAAGACCAAGAAAAAAGAGGAAAGAAAATACAGTCTACGAGTATAACTAGGCAGCCCCAGAAAGAGATGAAAATGAATACAAGCTTCAGTATCTACAAATTTAAATTTAAAATGAGGTAAGTGGATTTATCTCTTACAGGCACTTCTCCGTACCCAACACAGTAAGTAGAAAGGGGAGGATTTTACTAAAAACGGGAGGTGGGTATTAAAAGGATTCAGAATGAAAGGTAAGAAGTCAAGTTTTTTTGTTCTCAAAAACTTCTACCATCCTTCCAATCAAAATCCCTCAGCCAGGCGAGACTTTTCTCTTCCCCTTGTTTATGTATTATTTTATGTGAGCAACAACTCTACAATTTCAGTGCCTCTGGAATCCATTAGGCATCCATAAGAATGAAAATAGTGTTGGTGCTCTGCAGAAATAAGCAAAACAGGAAACTTAATTTCTATTTTAATATAACAAACAGCAAATAGCCTTGACTAAAGAAAGATGTTTTCAGTCAATTGTCACATATCTTTGAAGAAATTCCCTGGGAGGAAAGAATGGCTTTTCCAAGTACGGTGAGAGCAGTCCTTCGACTTACAAGCTTTCTCTGCTCCTCAAAAAACTCCAGAAGTGCCTGCGATTAAACGGAAACTCCGTAAAACTTGGGGGGTGCTTTAGGGACAAAGCATTCTTCCCGCCTTCAAAATACAGTATTTACCTTCCCACTACTAAGGGACATTACCAAAAACTACTACACACACTACATCTAAGACACCCTCTCCACCAAACCAACTGAAAAAGTGCTTCATAACACACACACACACACACACACACACACACGCTCCCCCAAGTTTCCAAAAACAGTGGCCCAAGTGTACTTGGGATCAAACACTGTGCGAGAATTGTCCAGGAGAACTACTGCTTATACATTACTCTTACCTTCATGACCACTCAGTTTTAAAATCGCACGCCCGGAACGTATCACATCCGAAGTGCTTTATCCCCTTACCACACTAAGAACGCAAAGACTGGCGGCAAATCGGAGCAACTTACTTACCATCGATCTGAATACCCAACCCCAAACCCTGCACCGTCTCCAAGGGGTAGAAGAACTGAGTACAAAGGCACTTGGTGGTTCCTTCTACCTCGGCACCTCTCTCTCTCTCCCACTGAGTCTCTGTAAATTCCAAAATACACCACGGAAATCTCCGCACAGAGCACTACCAGACCAGTCAGATGGAGAGTCCAGAAGTAATCGGTTTGTCCCTTCCAAGGGGGCCTTGGAAACCCGGACCCTAAAAGCCAAGATGACTTGGGGGTGTGACCTGGGCTGCTCCCTCCCCTATACTCCCTTCACGGGACTCCCTTGTCGCGGCTACTCACCAGACCAGAGAGCACAGAAAGAGGCAGGAGACCAGGGCCAAGGCCCGCCGGTGCTTCTTCATCTTCTCCTCCTTCTTCCCCCTGTCAGAAGGCGGCACATCCTCCCGGCAGCCGCCACTGCCGAAGCCAAGATGGAGGAGCCGGAGCAGGAGCGCGAGGATGGGACCGATAATCCTAAAGGCTGTGGCGCTGGCTGAGCGGCTCCTCAGTGGCTCGCGTCCTGGCAGCCCTCTCCGAGGGCCCCACAGCCGCGCGGACAGGGGCGCTTCACAGGACTCCGGGGACCGCCGCTGCTGCGGCCGCCGGCTCGTCCACGCCCGCCTCCAGAAGCCGCCGCCGCCGCCACTGCCACCCCGTATCCTCCCCGCCCGCCCGGGGCCTTGCTCCGTGAGACCAGCGACCAACGGCCGCCGCGTACTCGCCTCTCAACAGCCAATCGCCGGCGGGGCCGCGACACCTCACACACCGCTGAGCTGGAAAGCGACGCGTCACCCACGTCCCGCGGCGCCCACACCCCCACCAGCCTCTGCGTAGGCCACGCCCCCTCCGACGCCGCAGGCGGAGAAGCCGGAGGCAGGAGACCACAAAACGCAGGAGCAGACGCCGTCGCGGCTCCGCCGCCCCAGGTCCCGCCCCCTTGCGGGCTAGCGTTCAAAAGAGCCCCGTGATCGTTCGCATTCCCCCTTACAGTGGTCCGCCCCTCGTCCCGTGCGCGCTGAGTCCGCGCAAGCGCCCTTGGGAGTTGTAGTTTGCCTTCCAGAACCCGTTTTCTTCTTTCCCTGTCCCTCCTAGAATCCATGGTTTTGTTGCGGAAGTCTGTAGTTTCGCTGCTCACCACGAGACTGATCAGCTTTGGAAGTGTTGCACTCTTTTCCTCTTTTGAGCACAGTTCGTGGGATGGCCTAGAATGACGGGGTTGAGGGTTGCGAGGGAAGCTGTACTAATAAAATTTAAAGACCCTTTCCCTGTATCAATGGACTGCCCCATCGAGCTAGATGTTGATTGGTAGATAGAAAGGGGCGAGCCAAGAATCTCTCATCTGATTGGTTGTAGCGGAAAACCTTTCGCTTTTTCTTTCCTTCAGCAAGAATTTCGCCGCTGGCCGGGTTCCTCACTTGAAGAGTGTTTCGTTGGTTTTCGTTCTGTTGCTTTCGAACTTTGGGTTCTCTGCGATGGAGTCGGAAGGGAGGAGTTGTCTCCGTTAGAGGAGCACCCACAGACGCTCCAAGTCCTGAGGTTCACCGAAAGTGGGGAAGGCAGTCGCTTACACTCACCTAAGAGCAAGAAGTGACCACTTCTCAATACTAAGTAACGGGCAGCATGCCCATTCCAAGTCTTTACGCCGCTGAGGGGACGGAGGCTGCAATGGTCTGTGCCTTGGAACATGGCATAATGTTTAGTGTGAAAAATGTTTAAAGGTGGTGTTACTTATTGTTCATGTGGCCGTAGGGAAAAAACCCTCAGTAAAATGCCCACCTAACGCCTAATTTTGAGCCGCGGAATTTCCTTATGAACCTTCTAAGTTGAATTGTATGTTAATTGTAGTCCCAAAGAACTGAATGATTTCACCCACTCTGTAATTCTTGGATATAAGTCAGTTTGATGTTAGAGAAATTATACAAAGGGTGATAATTTTGGTTTTAAAGGTGTTCACCCTGAACTGCCTTTTCTGGCAGTAATTAGGTAACAGTTCCACTTATCTGCTGATGCTACTCTTAATATATGACAATAAAATCCTTTCATCTCTCACCTATTGCGGGAAGCAAATATTTATCTCACCCAAAAACAGTATCAAATGATTAATATGCAAGTTTAAAAGAAAGTAGGGGCAATGGAAGGGTAGGGATAAATTGACATTCTTTACCATGTTGGACACCCTTTTCCTCTTATTCCAGGAACTTTTATTCAGGATAGGAAACAGCTGAGGTATCCCTCAGCTGATCCTCAGTACATCACAGCCAAAGAAGTTATATTAGAATACATGCTTGTCTCAAATCTAGGAAGTTATCAAGCTACGTCTATCCCTCTCATCCCAAACTCACAGACCCATCCACTTATTTTCCACCAAGTCCCTGCAATGATTTTTTGGAATATGCAAGTACAAAGAATTTTACTTTTTTCTTTCTCTTTCTTTCCTTCCTTGACTGACTGCCTGCCTTCCTGCCTGCCTTTTTCTCTGGCAGTTGGAGCTTTATTAATACCCCCGTGGTAGGCTTCCCATTCACCTAATTATCATCCAATTATTAGCTTTTACTATTTCACTCTATAAATGTTCTTTTGTCTTTTTGAATTTCATTTCCATGGTTTCATGTTAAGGTTTAATCCTTCAGTACTCTGAGCTTTTTCCATTTTTCTCTTGGGCAAGTTTAATTTTCAACTATACTGTTGACTCCCAAACCTATTTCCCAACCTCTTCTCAAGTAGTTGCTGGACATATTAGTTAGATATTCTATCACTTCCAATTTTACCTGCACAAAATAGAACTCACTTTTCCCATAAATTAGCTTCTTTGCCTGACTTTCTATATTTATGTTGATTCTTTCCTATTCTAAGACTCCAGATGAAATAAATAGAAATTCCATAGAGCTGACCTTTAAAGAACTGGTAGACATTTTTCCACCTATCTGTTAAATATAATGAGAAAAAGAGGAGAGAAAATTTTCTTATAACTCAATAGACAAGTATAAGAAAGTAATAATTTATAAAATAAAACTAATATAGATAAATGTCACCATACTTAAAAAGTATAACATATGCCAAAAATGGCAAGAAAGAATATAGGAAAAGTCAAAGCATGTATAATATATAATCTTTAATATATAATATTTAATTATATAATATATATAATCTTTTAAGGCTTAGGCTAATTAACCACCATCAACTACCCATTAACTGTAATACAGTAATTCTCAACCTGGGGCAGACTTCCCCCCAGGGTGAAATTGGCATTGTGTGAACACACTTTTTGCTTGTCACATTGGAGAAGTACTACTGGCACCTAATGAGTGGAGGCCAGGGATGCTCTTTCACATCCTACAGTGCACAAGAAAGCCCTCCACAACAAAAATTATTTGGCCTAAAAAGTCAAAAGTGCCAAGGTTGAGAAACCCTGCTATAACCGAATCTCCCAATTCAATAAAATCTATAAAGCACTGACCACACACAGGATAACTTGTTTGCCTTGCAGATCCTTGGATTATTCAGCAAGTCACTAGGGCCTAAACTGCACAATTAACATGAGTTCTCCCATTCCTAAAAAGTTGACTAAACCAGAAACTCTAGGCAGCTCAAGTCCCTGCCTTGATAAAGATCTGATACTCTGTTTGCTTATGGTGAAAGAGAACAAGCAGACCTTAAAAAAGGAACCAACCCCTTCTGGCTATCTCGTTTGTTCTTTATCTCATATACAAATCATATTTAAGATACCCAAGAGAACTGTTTGTCTAAGTTGGTGGTATTTCATGAGCAAGCTTTTACGTATTTTGATTTAGTTGAAAAATTACCTGCTCCTTTCAATATTATAAAATGCTGAGATCCTGTATGTCTCAGAAGGATCTTAGAGACCAATGACATTTAGATGCTTCCAGAGTAAAAGTCAGTTAAAACAGATGTTTCCTGGAAATCAGTCAAAGAAAGGTTGGGAGATTGAGAACACACAAATAGACAATAAAAGAGACTAAGATGGAAAATGGAAAAATGGTGAATGTAGCAATCAGCACTTAACAATTCAACCACATAAAAAGTATAAACAAAACTTTTAAAACTGTTTGTTCCCCCAATCATCTTCTTTATGTACATAAATATGTGTGTAGAATAGCATATACTTTCTTTATTTAGTTACTCCCTACCTAAAAAGAGCCTTAACTACTTAGCCAAATCTACCTTAACAGAGCACTGATAATTTGGCCACTTCAGGAGTTAAGTGTAGAAATCAGAAGGAGATAAGACATAGATTACTTCATTAGTACAGCCTGAGAACTCAGTCTCTTGAGGGCTGGGAGATCACAGAGTGCAAGGTTGGCATGCACGGTTCTGTTTTTACTGCAAATAACAAAAGGTAAGATTTCCCTTTTTAAAAATTCTACTTTGTGATCCCAAATTCAGTCTTCTATCACTGGGTTAACATATGTGTATTTTGAAGATACATGAATTGTAAATAGGCTCATAATGGAATCAACTAGAAGAAGGGAATGATTTACATGTGGGTGACAGAGAAGGAGACATCAAAGATGGTCCAATTTCTAAGAACATATGTGCCATTACATGAGTAGGAAAGTCAGGAGTTGCAGATTTACAAGTTAAGAAGACTAGTATGGTTTTGGAAGCACAGTATTGAGGTTCTGGTGGAAGTATCTAGCAAGAATTTACAAGTACAAGATTCAAAATAGGGAGAGAAAGTAACAACTGAAGCAGCATGTTGGGTATTGTAACTGATGTGTCCTTTAGCACCTCCTGTATAACGCTCTCAGAAGAAGCTTCCTAAAACATTATCTTCATCATGTCCGTTCTTTGATGCAAAAATATCCCATAGGTCTGACATATTCGTCAAATAAAGTCCTGCCTCCTTGGCCTGGCATTCAAAACTTTCCATAATCAAACCCAGTTGATGTAGTTCAAGCTTTATTTCCCACTATTTTCTTTCATAACTCAACCTTCTGACCAGACTACACTGTTTGTTATGACCTGAAACACTGGTGCCTGCCCTTATTACACTGTTTTTATTTAATATTCATTTGTCTCCCCAAGCAGTGAATAAATTCCTTACTGCAGAGAGGTCATGTGTTTTATTGATATATATCACACAGTGACGTTTTTTATTACAGAGGCCCAAGAAATAATTTTTTACTTTTCACTTAACTATTTATTTGTCTAATCACCTTGAATTATAATTTGCCCTATAATTTAAACTCCTAGGAGTAGCAAGCCCTTAGGATGAGAACGTTTTATGCAATTGACTAGTCTAGAGCACCTAGTCAACTACTTCTTTCTCGATAAATTATCAAATTAGCTTTTCAGCATAACATTATTTGACTTATGTCTGACTAGATTTTCCTAGGTTCTAGTTACCCTAAGTAACCTGGAGAAATAAAGTGTTCAATAAATATTTATTGAGCCTTTTTTGTATTAAAGATGCTGAGACAGATATTTGCTCCAGGAAAGCTTTAGTGTTCTAGCAGGGAGTCTTGATCTTCTGAACAGCACTCTTTTGGTAGTCTGGTGAAGCCCTTGAAACCCTTCTCAGAATGTTTATAAAGGTATAAAATAAAACACATAGATTACAAAGGAAACCAACTGTAGGGAAATACAGTTATTAAAATATTGCAAAGCAAATTTGTGATCTAATAAGGTGGGCTTTTTCATTAATGCATAAATAACAAGGTCTAACAGCAGGTCTCCTAATGTCAATAATTCCAAAATGGTGATGAGTATAAGAGATATTCCAAGATACCTACAATATGCATAATGTGATATGAAAATATCTGTGATTAATGTTGGTGACAAAGTTGTAGATACAGCCAGTACTACCACAGTTTGTTACCTACATTCACAATAAAATCAAATTCTAAATTTCAGTAGAGGTTAGGAGAATAGAGATATAATTATTATTCCATCCATGGACCTGTGAATTATATACGTGGATCGCAACTAAGAAGTCCTGCAAAAGAGCAATGTTTTTTAAACTGTGGGGTCACAAGTCATTAGAGAGTCAAGAAATAAATCTTGAGGGAATCCAGCAGCACTTTTTAAAAAATAAAATACAATAATTTAGAAAATATCAGAGTGTGTCTCAGCAAGAGGAAATATTTTTGTGGGGCACTCTTATTTCAGTAATATATGTGATGTGTGTATACGTGTGTGTGTGTACAGTTATATACATATATACATACTAGGTTGCAATATAAAATATACGTCTGCGTTTTTTTGTTTGTTTTTTGTTTTGTTTGTTTTTTTGTTTTGTTTTGAGACAGATTCTTGCTCTGTCGTGCAGGCTGGATGGAGTGCAGCGGCACGATCTCGGCTCACTGCAACCTCTGCCTCTCAGGTTCAAGTGATTCTCCTGCCTCAGCCCCCAGAGTAGCTGGGATTACAGGTGCACGTCACCATACCTGGCTAATTTTTGTATTTTTAGTAGAGATGGGGTTTTGCCACGTTGGCCAGGCTGGTCTTAAACTCCTGACCTCAAGTGATCTGCCAACCTCCACCTCCCAAAGTGCTGGGATTGCAGGAGTGAGCCACTGAGCCCTGCCAAATAGATGTCTTAAAGTGAGTTGCAGTCAAAATAATGTGAAAGCCACTGCACTAGGGGAAATGAAATACATAAGATGCATGGAATAAATGCCTCAAATAATGTGAATTGCGAGTGTCACAAGATTTTAGAGGAAAAGGAAATTATTATTTTTGTGAGGAAATTATCAAAGATTTAAAAGAGGCAGATTTGATGTGGTTCTTTAAAAATGAGTATGATATTCACAGAGATATGAAGAGAAGGTATTTCAGGTATAGGGAACAGTAAGCACTAGAATCCAATTTAAAACTATTTTAAAACCCTTATATGCCTTCTAATTTTAATTTACTTGACACTTATTTGGTATTCTGTGTTTGAAATAGTGAAAGTGAGCTCTAATCAAATAAAATAAACAGGTATTTTTTAAACACATAAAATACTTCACTATAGGTACTGTGGGGATTTTTTTAACAAGCATTAGAGATATTATTTTCTATGAAACAAGGTGTTCAAGAACATTAAAATAACAAAATGTGGTACAAATACAAAGTGATCAAAGTTCAAGATAATTAAATTGGGGTAAAGATAATATATTCATTGCACACATACAATTACTTTTACTCACAAAACCCCATAAAACAACAGAAAAGAGTCTGTTTGTTTGTTTGTTAATATCTAGGCTGCAAGGATGGGAGATCAGGTGAGAGGGTCATAAGAAAAAAACCTTGAAGCTGGAAAGCAGATAAGTAAGAAACGCTTCCTAACATGATGATATGCTGATCTGACAAGCGTAGTTTATCACCTTTAATAATCCTGACATAATTTATAATAGTACCAACTTTTACTTTTGTAGGAGTGGAAAAGATGTGATATTTTTACCCATCATAAGAGTCACAGCTGACACTCCTATAACAAAAGACTGGTTAACAAAGGAGAAGCATAACACATTACTTAATCAAAAAGTTTTACTTGACACAGGCAACTTCAGAAATGAACACACAAAGACCTAGGTAAAACTGTCCATTTTTATGATTAGATTAAATGAAGAATGGACAGCCATATAGAAATGTAACTGGACAAAAAGGGTATGACAACAATAATAGATATTGTCTAATGGTACGATTATGTCTAATGATAATAGGCTGAGAGGGAAAACCCCAAAAAGGACTGTCTGTTCAGATTCTTCTTGGCCTCTCTGTGTAGCATTTCTTCCTTGTGGGTATAGGGCATGACCTCTTTTAGAATGATAGTCTTATAATCTACAATCAGACATGGTAGACCTACAATCTACTATCAGACTTGGTAGGTCAGATAACTTCTTTATGGCCAGCTGCTACACAAAAAAGCAGGAGAAGATTAGAGTAGTATTTCTGGGTTTTATGACTAGTTTTGGGGAAGAGGAGCTCTAGTTTTCGTGACCTGCCTCAGGGAAGGAGAGGCAAGAGACAGGAGAGCACAGAGAGACTTTGCTTCTGAGTCCTTCCAATCTCCTTTGGTTCAAAGTGCTCAGCATGCCAAGGCTTCATACTTTAGGGTATCATTTCCTGAGCCCCAGTACTTTCAAATATGTTTTGGTTTGAACAATAAATACTGTGGTCAACCTCAACACAACAGACATGAGAAAACTGAACCTTAATTTAGCAATGAGAAATGGCAAAATTGATTCAATGTGTCATACAGAATCCCCAAAAAGCTCATTCAGGAAATAGCAGCACCAAGTCCAGCTGGCAGTGAGATTAAAGGTGTACGTGTTTGGGGCCCGGCACAGTGGCTCACACATGTAATCCTAGCACTTTGGGAGGCCGAGCTGGGTGGATCACTTGAGGTCAAGAGTTCGAGACCAGCCTGGCCAACATGGGAAAACCCCATCTCTACTAAAAATACAAAAAATAGCCAGGTGTGGTGGCACACACCTGTAGACCCAGCTACTCGGGGGCTGAGGCATGACAATCGCTGGAGCCCAGGAGGCAGAGGTCACAATGAGCTGAGATCACACCACTGCACTCCAGCCTGAGCAGCAGAGCAAGACCCTGCCTCAATAATAATAATAATATAATAAATAATAAATAATAAATAAAATTATGTGTGTTTGGTGCTTGTGGTGGTAGGAGGTAATTGCAAATTAAGAACTATCAGATACCCTCCCCAACTCTACATGGCTAAATGACTGTCCCTACCCCAGCCCCAGCAAAAGACTATAGATTTATTATCAGGGGAGAAAAAGATAAAGTCTGGAATTGGGAATGCCGAGCATAGTTTACAGCAGTGGTACCACACAAAAAAGTAAGTGCATTTTTGTGACAACTAGAGATTTGAATAAGAACTAGGCATTAAGTGATAAAAATTATTGTCATTTTTTATTAAATATGACAATACTACATGTGGTTATATAGGAAATGTTCTTATTTTTGAGGAGATATATGCTGAAATATTTTAAGAGTGAAGTCCATGATGACACTCTAGCTTCAAAGGTTTAGAGAGAAAGAGAACAGCTATGGCAAACTCTTAATTGTTGAATATAGATGGAGGATACAGGGGTAGTTGTTGTGCTATTCTTTCAACTCTTCTGTATGTTTGAAGTTTTTATAATAGCAATTTTGCGGGAAGAAATGAATGAGGACACATTTGAAGCTGAGACCTCAGGTGTCTTTCTGCATCAGCAGCCAGTGTCTCTCTCTCTCTAGGGAGAGGATTGGAAGAATCTTCTCTGAGAAATCTGATCATTCCAAGAGGACATAAATAAAAGATGACTGATATCTGACTTTTTCCAACCAGTTCACCCTACAGGGAAGATCATAGTCAAGCCCTAACCATGCACTCAGAGTATCCAGTCAGCATTTTAGTGCTCCGCTCTTAAAAAGGAGCACATAACTAATGATTACCGGGCATGAGAAAATGCTCTTACATGACAGATGGAGGTGAATATTCATAAACAGGAAAACAAAACAAAACAAAAAACAATATGGAGAATAATAAAAACTATCCATTGAGAGAGAAACTTCAAAAAAAAAAAAATTCTAACATTGCCAGATACTGCCACCCTACAATAGGAGCACGGTACTATAAGAAATGGAACTGTCAAGAACAGCAACAATCATCGAAAATGGTCTTGTAAAGCAAAGCTATGAAAGAAGAAAGAAAAAATTCAATAGAAGAATTAGAAAATAAAGTCAAAGAAATTATCAGAAAGTGGCCAAAAAGACAAAAGACTAATCCAGGAGGTCTAGTATACCTATACTAGAAAGAAAAGAGAGAAAACAGAGGTGAGAAAATAAATATTTTTGAAGACGTTTTCCTAGATTTGAAAAATCTAAGTTTCCAAACTGAAACTTAGACATCCTAGTCTAAATGCCTAGCACAGTGGGACTGTGCCTCAGTTGACATTAAGGCACATCATTGTGATATTTTGGAAACACTGGAGACAAAGAGATCATAGAAGTTTTAGAATTAAGAGAAAAAGATCACACACACAAAGAACCAGGAATCAGAACCATTTCAGACCTCTCATTTACACAGGAAGTTGGAAGATAGTGGAGTAATAATGTCTTTCAAACACTGGAGGAAGATTATTTCCAACCAAGAATTCTATGCTCAACTAAACTATCAATCGTCAGGGGCAATAAAGACATTATGAGACAAGCAGGACTCCAAGAAATTTACCTACTGTGGGCCATTTCTCATGAAAGGAGATCTTGCTCTACCAAAACAAGGGAAGAATCCAAAAAAGAGGAAGACATGTGTTACAGGAAACAGGCAATCCAATACAGAGAAAAGAGGTGATGAGAATCCCTAGGGTGATAGTGAAGGAAGAACCCAGCATAATAACTGAATGTCAGGCATAGGAGGCAGCCTGATTGCAGCAGTGGGAGACACTGGGAGAGACCTCTTCAGGAAAATCACATCAATAGAATACCTACTGCATCTGAGCATCTTGAGGGCTAATGTACAGAATTGTGGAAAGTTACTAGAATTTATGAGAAATACTGTCTCAGTCTGTTTAGGTTGCTATAATAAAATACCATAAACTGGGTAGATTATAAACAACAGATATTTATTTCTTATAGTTCTGGAGGCTGGGAGGTCTAAGATCAAGGTGCCAGTCTAATATCTCACTAGTGTGTGAGAGCCCACTTTCTCATGCATAGACAGGACTTTCTTGCTGTGTTATTATAGGCTGGAAGGGGTGAAAAGTCTCCCTTGGGCTTGGGTCTTTTTTATAAGGATACTAACCCCACTTGTGAGGGATTTGAGCTCATGATGTAATCACCTCCCAAAGACCCCACCCCCAAATACTACCACCTTGAAGGGTAAAATTTTGACATACAAATTTGGGGGAAGACAAACATTCAGACCTTAGCAGCAAGCACTTAGAAAACTAAGAAAAAACAAAAACAATTTAGAAAAGAGAGCTATGCAGGAAAAGTTCATCTGTGAATGGTATTTATGTAATAGTCATAATAATATACACTGAAAATTAATCAAAATCATTATGTAAAATCATAATCAGGAAGATGAGGAGATAGGAAAGATTGTAAGTCTCTGGTTGGGGTTATTGGTCAGAGAAAAGGAAAAAAAGCAAAATCTCAACTTCCATAGCAGAATGTCAATAATGCCTAAAATTAAAAACTGCAACAACAGAATAACAACACATTATTTAGGACATGGAGGTAAATATCAAAATAGTTGGCTAGTAAGAGGTGAAAGCAGTTGCTTTTTAAACAGGGATAAATAGAAGGAGGTGATAGGGAACTGCTATTTTTCATAACAAATCTTTTTAGAATTATATGATTCTTGCATATGCATATAACTGAATTTTTTTAAATTTAAGATGCTATGGTTATCATGATGTTTGTGATTTGTGGTCAAATGAGTCTGTATTTTTTATACTTTTTTCTATTGCATTCATCTATACTTCTATTACTGAATATATGGAGCAAAGAAAATTATTTATTATAATGTATAGATTTTGCAATTCTTCCGTTCAGTCGCTAGACATCAAAATCTAAAGAGAATGCAAGAAAATAATATTTGACTTTTTGAAAAAGAAATAGAGACGTGAAGCAAAGGATGAATATTTTCCTATGGATTATTTTTCTATTTTAGAATATAAAAGTATACTAGAATGCTCCCTGTAGTACCTGCTTTCAGAACTATTTAATGTACAAAATAAATTCTTTTCCTTGCCTTGCATTTTCTTCTTTTTCTGTTATTTATGTGTGTATTTTATAACGATCTATTGATTCTATAAAGTTAAGCATTTAGCTAGATAATTAAGGAAAACTTACTTTACCACAGTTATTCGGACATTATACTGGTTTGAGGCCTGAATTGTAAAGATCATTATATGGATCAAATAATTTCTTCTCTTTATTTTGCACAGGGAGGTGATGTGATATTAGAGTGTGTCAGTCTGTAAATGGATCTGCATGAAATGGTATTCAAGGTAAATGGATATTGAGGAGTCTTTGCAGTTTCTTTCGGTTACACAACTTTCATTTAGTTATACTTAAATGAGTCAAACAATTTAATTGAACCTTGGGAAAATCTGTTCCATAAGACAGCATTAAACATTAATCATTCCACATCACCAAATAATTAATGAAGAGTAACAGCGATGCTTCTAGGGAAGGTTAGTAACTGTTGAGAATAAAGCATTTTTATTTAAAGTTTTTGAAGGGCAGCTCAGAAGCCACTTTCTCCAAAGGGTCTTTCCCTCTTGCAGAGCCCTCCATTGCAATCCCTCCCCTCTGTGAACTTCCATGGTATGGATTATCACATTGTAACTTACACCAGTTAGTATATCCTTCCCTGGGAGAATGGAAACATCTCCACAACACCCACAGACTTTGCATTATCCCTGGCACAAAGGAGGCAATTAACAAAGCCTAACTATGAGAATGATATCGTGATGATGATGATGACAGTGATTCAAGAAGTGGGAAATTTAAATTTCTGGAGCACCTTCTAAACACAGAATTTGAACCTTTATGTGTATTCTTTAAAACCAAAACTAGAAAAAAAAAAAAACCCTACAAGTAAACAATACAATCCTCATTATATTACGTATGAGCTAGAACATTAAAATCTGAGTTTTCAGAAACATTTGGCCTTTATTAGGACTATCAGTAGTTCTAGTCCCATCCTCCAAAACTGAAAAGAAAATCTATACTCCAAGATGTTTAAAAGAAAAAGAAAATGCTTATTATTAAAGAACAGAAATGAGCTTTAAAAAAAATTTTTTGATAACTCTAAGTAGAATTTAGAATCCTGGATTAAGTTTAAAATAATTTTGGTTAATTTTAAGCATTGTATGTATTTTGATTTTTAGAGACAGGGTCTCGCTCTGTTGCACAGGTTGGAGTTCAGTGGCATGATCACGGCTCACTGCAGCCTCCATCTCCTCGGCTCAATTGATCCTCCCACCTTAGCCTCCCAAGTAGCTGGGACTACAGGTGCAAACCACCATGCCCAGCTAATTTTTGAAATTTTTTTTTGTAGAGATGAGGCTCTCACTATGTTGCCAAGACTCATCTCGAACTCCTGGGCTCAAGTGATCTGCTCACCTCGGCTCCCCAAAGTTCTGGAATTATAGGCATAAGCCACCTGCCTGGCCGAATGTTTTCACTTTTATTTTTTCCAGAGCTTACTTATCAGCTTAAAATTGTAATATGATGCATATATTTGCATAATTGCAATGAACTCTATCTGCTTTTCAATCAGAGACTTACATTTGCTGGAAATATCTTGATAAATGGACAGAATATTTTGAATTATTTTTATATTGTATTTATCTGCAATGTTGCCAATGTAGGTACAATTTGTATAATGTACATAAGGCATCTAGGAGGTGTTTTTTTTTTCTTTTTTTTTTTTTTACTCATGCAAATAGTTCTTTGTGTTTTCATTCTTCTTTGGTCAGTTGTAATTTCTCCTAAATAGCAATTTCCCCAATTTTCCTTAAGATAGAATCTCCTGTAAAAGTATAGTTTCTTCAGCTTACCCTAGAACCTCAGAACCAGCATCTCCAAGAGTACCCTGAAATCTGTACTTAGTAGGTAGCTTTTACTGTCAGATAAGTTTGGAAACTGCTCTAGAACATTCTTTCCCAGGCTCCTAGAGCCATTATTTTTACAAAAGGAAATAAAACATTTCCAATGTACTGTACTCAAAATGTGATTGAAGAAAAAGTAGGTAAACATTATTTCTATTCTAATTTCACTCAGTGTTCTAGTTGTATCACCACTCATTAACTGGCAGCTCGCATTTCCATTTTAGGGTGAAACAGTAAGACATGTTGTATATATTATTCTGGGAATGATACATCTGATATTTCAAACAATAATGATATCTATGTAATTAGTCTGCTGTGACTCCCTCGCCCATCAAGTAAACTCTCTGAAGCCAGTTTCTCATTTTTTTTTACCTGTTTCTCACAGACCCAAAAGAGGTCTATAATACATTTAAAATACATGTTTATTGAGTTGAAACAAATTAAATTGTGAAGTATTGATGAGGCTGAAAGTAAATGATAATTATGTCGGCACAACTTTTTCATTATGTTATTGCTTAGAGATCATTCTCTCTTCCATCTATCAAGATCCAACTGCTATCACTCAAGATTCCACATGGCAAAGGAAGAGTATACAGAAGCTCTTTCCACCAATCCTCCCTCCCTTAATGAACTCACATTTCTCCTTTCTCTGCTCTTTTTCCAAGCTCACTCTGTTGACTCTGTTTTATCCATTCACACCCAAGTAATGGCTTTATATCTGTATTCACAATATATAACCTAGAGTGAAAACCTCATTGAGGCAGAGATTCTCTTAGCAGAGCTTTCTGGTCTTGGTCAGAACATTAATAAAATAAATAAGCCAGCCCCAGGCTATAAGCTAAGCCATTTCAATAATGAAGGTGGAATGTTTCTTTCTCTAGTGGGAAAGTAACTTGAAACAAATACATGGTATTCTGAAGCAGGGGGTCTGTCTCTGCCATCTAAAATAGCTCTGGGCCTAAAACGCTGTGGTTCATCAGACCCTACAGCATCAAACACCTGTGTAGCAGATACTAAATATTTGTTGAAGAAAAGGAAAATTGGAAAGGAAAGAAAAAAAGGGAAGGAAGGTTTTATCATTTTATTAAAAGTATTATCTGTAATTTTTAATATAATGTTATACTTTCAATGTTAATTTCAAAGTTCTTTAATCTGAAAACCACAAGTTGTCAATAATCATAAATTTGACATGTGTGGACATGAATATATATAAATATGAATATATAACATGAATACCTTTAGGATTTCATCTGGAAAAAGTATTGTAAGGTCTACAATTTTTCCATTATCTAATCACAAACATGTCTTTGTTATAGAAGCAAAATTGGGTCCTCAAATGGCTTTTTCACATTCCTGTTGCTTACAGAGTATATAATTACTACAGTCTAGGGATATATATATAAAGTATTAGAAAACGAAGGTAAAAAAAAGAAATAAAGAACTTGGGGTTTGTTTGTTGTGTTGAAGTCTTCAGTGTATGTGCAGACTGCAGGATGACACAGGAACTGTCTGGAACTGTTTTAATATGAAGAAGCTAGGACTTTCAGGAAAAGCCTGGAAAGTCAAAGGGAGAACAACATAAGCTATTCAGTTTTTTGTTTTGGTCAAGAGGATACGGCTGGAGCCCAAAGTAGCAGCATTTATTAAGTTAAATGCAATTTCCTGAACATGTCGGTATTTTGAGTGTAGAACCTGTATGTGCCTGTTTATGTGTGTAGTGAGTGGTCTCTCCAAATTAAGAAGATAGTTTAAAAATACGAAATTAGAGTTGGAGAGGTCTTGGTGCATTTCTGGCATTTATAAGACTAACAACTGTAGGATGAAAGCCGAAGTAGAGTGAGGGATATCTAGCATGTGAGAAGACTAGTGAAAACGGGTTTCTGTAAGATACATGATCAATACTGGAAGGTGACATTTTATTTTCATCACTTTTCTCTATCTATTCTCTCTGTATTCATCACCTCTTCTCCAGACTCTCTCAGCCATGTATCTGCTTGCTTTCAGCTTCTTCACCAAGACACACACACGCGCATGTGTGCAAACACATCACACACTTTTTCAAAGTCTGGTGAGTTTTATCGAGAGCATCGCATTTGGTTTCAGAGCCAGTTTATTTTCATTATGGAGATTAACTCTCACCTGACACAGGATAAGCGTAACAGGTGTTCAGAGGAGAAAGAGCGGGATGGAGTAAGCTGAGCTGCTCAAGGAAGCTAAAGGGAGAGATGCACCTAGGACTGGGCCTCAAAACATAGATCCATTTTCACTGGCAGAGGAGGCATGTGTGTATGCCTATTAAGTTTAAGGGATGGGGTGGCACTTTCCAGGCAGTGGGAAGGGAATACAAACCAAGACATGTAAACAATGTCCCATTTACTAAAGGAAAAGAAGGATGTTCAATTTACCTTGAGACAAGGCTATGTGTGTATGTGTGTGTGTGTATGTGTATATATATACACACACACATATATACATATGTACATACATACACATATACACACACACATATATACACATATATGTATATAGGCCCCATATATATACACATATATAGGCCCCATATATACACACATACACATCATGTGTGCATATACACACATACACATACATGTGTGTATATACATATAGACATGTGTATATATAGGCCCCATATATGTGTATATATACACACACATATATTATATATATACATATATATATCAGGGAGTTATAGGAGGCAAAAGTGAAAAAAAAGTGAAAAGGTAGTTTGGGAAAGATTACAGAAGACCTTAAATGCCCTGTTAAGATCACCCACCACCACCATCCCTTCTGACACACACACACACACACACACACAGACATACACATGCACACATATGCATGTGTGCTGCTCTTTTACTTGTCCAAGGATGGAATTGTCCAAGTTGTTTATATTTCCTTCCAGCAAGAAGCCACTACATATTCTCAACCTTAATCTTGGAAAAAAAAATCACTGACTGAATCTCTCACCTCCTGAAGCCCAACGGATAATTACTGTGCTGGAGAACTAATTTGCCAACTGAATGAGAAAAATTGGTCACCAGAGAACCAGAAAACTCAAAAGAACCTTCTGAGGTCATCAGAACATGTAGGTATTATTTCTTTAATATCCTTACAACATTAAAAACCTGTCCAGATAAATTGATATAGGGAGAGAGGGAAGGAGGAAGAATATGACCAATGAATAGGGAGAGACAAAAGGAGGAGTAATGGAGGGAGCTGGGGCAAGGAGAAGAGGAAGTGAATAAAGAACATGGCAAGCCCTCTAGCTTTGTATTTATCATGGAGACCCTCATGAAGCCATTACTCTGTTTCCCTGCATATTCTGAGAAAAACAATCTTCGAAAGATTGGTCTATAGTAGAAGGAAGCCTAATGAACAGTGGAAGAGATACTACTATGTCTTTTTTGTTTTTCATTGCTTTTGCAGGCAGCAGTAGATATATAGTTTTTGATGTCACATTTTATTTTATTTAGACGGAATCTTGCTCTGTCACCCAGGCTGGAGTGAGCATGATCTCGGCTCACTGCAACCTCCGCCTTCCAGGTTCAAGCTATTATCCTGCCTCAGCCTCCTGAGTAGCTGGGATTACAGGCATATGCCACCACGCCCAGCTAATTTTTATATTTTTAGTAGAGATGGGATTTCACTATGTTGGTCAGGCTGGTCTCCAACTCCTGATTTCGTGATCTACCCGCCTCAGCTTCTCAAAGTGCTGGGATTACAGGCGTCAGCCACCGCATCCGGCATTTTTTCTTTTTTCTTAAAAAAGAGGGATTTATTTAAAAATGTAAAAAGCTAAAAGCTGGATTATGATAGGAGCAATGGAGCGATAAACATAACATATTATAGGAAATAGGGCCTAGTCTCATGCCTTCCTGTTGCAGTTGCTTAAGACACTGCAAATACATAATCAGGAAGCAGTCCCTGGGTTCTTCCTTTTGCACCAGAAATGACTGGTGAAAGCCGGGGATAGAGAGAAATAGTTCCTCCTTAGCATGTTTGCATTATTATTAGCATATTTGTTTGAACATCCAAGCACTATCAGGGATTGCATAAAAGGACAAACACTGTGCAATTGTACTGCCAAGGGCCACAGTCTGACAAAATAAACCATAAGATCAGCCACTGCAACTCTCACAAAGTGTCATTTATAAGAGACCATGTGAGTCAAAGTGATGCACTCTAACAACAGCGATGTTCCCAGGAAGAGAATACACAAAAAATGAAATTAACTTTATTATTAGGGAGATGTGTTTAAGGATAGTTGATTTTTCCTGTTTAATACTTCACTTGATACTTCTATTTTAAAGTTAAAAATACCAACATGTGTCCATCCAACGTTTCCCTAAAATAATTTTGTATTTGCCAAAGGACATTTCATGTGGATTTGGCAAATAGCATATTGATTAGGACAGGCTGTGTAGAAAGAACACTTATCTTTAGGATCCATATGGCTACATGATGCTCTGATATTGTCAGTGTATGTTGGAGCTTCTTCAAAGACACAGCTGTCTTCAAACTCATGCTAGCTAGGGCTTTTGATGAGTAAATAAAATTCTGGGGGAAGGGAGATAGCCCACACTTATACACTCTGCAATTCAAACCTGCTGTGTTTCAGCCTTCACACCTTTCTGCAACACAGAAAACTTGCTTACACTACAAAAATCACATACACACACATGCATTGACATGGGAAAGAACAGACGGTTTTATGTCATGCCTAATGACTACTGAAATTATAGGTGACTTTATTATCTATTGTTTCTATGCAGACTACTTAATGTTTGTTCATAAAACTAAAATTAACAAAGAAAGAGTATTTTTCTCCCACTACTCTTTAGTATCTGAATGTCACTGCTGCTCATTTGACTCTGATAAAATGAAGACAGTGCAGTCAGTGGAAGAGACACAAAGTATGGTATCAGAAAAAACCTGAACTAGAATGCCAGAACTCCAGAATCCCATTCACCACTTATGTGACCTTAGGTTAGATTCTTAATTTCTCTAAGACTCTGTAAAATTGTAATCACCCCATGTGTTCACCTTGCCTGCTGCCTAGACAGAGCTAATTTTTCATGACGGGAATTGCAATAGAGAAAGAGTAATTCACACCAAGCCAAATGTGCAGGAGACCAGAGTTTTACTATTACTCAGATCAGTCTCCCTGAGCATTCAGGGATCTGAGTTGTTAAGGACAGCTTGGTGGGTGGGGGGAAGCCAGTGGGCTCCCCAATCAGATGAGACAGTTTATCCATCTGGGTGGTGCACTTGATGGAGCCAGTTTATCCATCAAGTGCAGGGTCGGCAAAATATCTCCAGCATTGGTTTCAGGCTTTACAATAGTGATTTTTATCCCCAGGAGAAATTTGGGAAGGGTCAGAATCTTGTAGTCTCCCGCTGCATGACTCCTAAACCATAATTTCTAATCTTTTGACTAACTTGTTATCCCTGCAAAGGCACTCTGGTCCCCAGGCAAGAAGGGGGTTTGTTTTGAGAAAGGGCTGTTATCATCTTTGTCTCAAACTATAAAATAAGTTTCTCCCAAAATTAGTTCAGCGTACACCCAGGAATGAACAAGGACAGCTTGGAGGTTAGAAGCAAGATGAAATTGATAAGTTCAGATCTCTTTCACTGTCTCAGCTATAATTTTGCAATGGCAGTTTCAAACTGAGAATAATGAGACTCCTCTGGAGTTGAAGTGAGAATCGAATGAGGTAACAGCAGTATCTAGCAAAGTGCCCAGTACCAAGTAGTCATTTAGTAAATATTGAATCTGGATGTTCACTAAATGTTCAGAATCAGTTGAACGTGAATCTGAATCAATGGAGTAGAAGAGAACACGAAATGCTTGAAAAACATCCATTAGGACTATTTTTAGTCCTTAAAGCAATTCAGGTGGTTGAAGAATATGTTTGGTGTGTTGTGTTCTATTAATCTGGAGATCAATAGTAAAGTTCCCTTGTATGACTTTTTCTCAGTAATGAATCTAATCTTTTCTGTATCCCTGGCTAAGATCTGCACACAATAAATTAGACATAAATATAATTCTTTAAGTCTATATTTCCTTCCTTCCTTGTACACGTATTTCCAAAATTCTACTTATAATGATAGTGTCCTTACATTCTGCTTTACTTCTAACTATTCACTAATTACTTTTGCAAACTCCTTTCATTAACGAGGAGAAAAATATCCTTAAGCTGTGTGAACTATGACAATACCTTTAGAATATTTAAAGTTGAGGGATATAACTTAAACGTATGATGTCTATGTTTTAGAATGTCTAAATGTCTATATTATTCCTCAGGGCTGGAGAGGAAGCAAGTCCTCCCTTAAATCAGCCATGAAAGATGAAATGATAGCACAAAAGCTTGTGTCAGCAGACGAGGTGGAGCTGAAGTTTCCTATTCCTGAGCTCACTCATTGTGACTCTGTAGGCGGGGTTCTCACTGAGATCACCATGGCTAATCCAGATGAAGACAGGCCTGTAGCAAGAAGAGTCTTGCTGGCCAAGATAAATTTATTATGAGTATTTTCCTAGTACTTTATGGGAAGTAGAGGGAAGCTGACTCTTGAGGATATATCCAGAAATAACCAGAAGTACTCCTGAGGATGTACCTAGAAATACCCAGACATACTCTTAAGACTGTACCCAGAAATGTGAACACCTAATCACATACTGCTATTTGTTTATGAAAAATAAAACCGGAGAACTGATTAAAACCAAAGCTAACTCCAGTTTTAAACACGATAGTTAGAATAACTTAACATGGACATTGGTAAAAGGATCTATATCTACTATCGCTTCTAACTCACAAAGATCGGAGCCAATTTTCTAATGCCTTTGTGTTTCACTTTTCGCATCTGTGAAAGAAGCGACTACACTTAGGTAGTAGATTTTTATTATTTGTTTCAGACCATCACCAGTTTTCTTGAGACTGGACATTCCCTGTGCTTTCTGGGGTTTGACTTTGTGAGACAAGGCAATCCTTTTTTGCCTAAGCTAGTTCAAGTTGAGCTTCTGACCTTTGGAATCAAACGAGTTCCAATTTACATGCCCTAACTATTCAGAGATGACAGAAGCATATAATTTCTCAGATGAAAGGAGCAACATAATATTTCACATAATAGAGTAGTGATAGATAAATTGTTTTTTATTATTTAATCAGTTTCTAGAAAATAATTAGAAATGACAAGCAATGCTTTTGTTGACTTTACTTGACAGGATGCATAACTCATAAAAGGAATAACTGGATATTTGTTAACAACTGACTTCCTCTGTGAAATCTAAGTTATAAAGCTATTTCAAACAACATTATTTCCTACTCATCAAGCCCAGTGATTATTTTCTTCCTTTTCTTATGTCTCAAGTTAACTTACCCAACTGTGTTTGTAATCTTTCCCTTTTTGGTTCCGTGGGAAATTTTGTCCCATAATTTCCAAGTTCCCATCAATTAGAACTTGTCTTTTTGTATCTTCAATCTCCATCTCTACTGCTGTCTTCCCATCTGGTCACATGTATTATTTTATCTTCCCTGTCTTAATCTAAAAATGTCACCCTAACTTCATTTTTCTCATAAGATAAAGATAAAACTATTTTTTCCTCTGACTTAAATAAATCTCTAAAAAGAAAGAGAGGCACAATAACCTAGTAGTCAAAACTGTTGCACAAACCTGAATTTGAATTTGAACTTCATCAGTTCCAGATTATCAGGAATGTAATGTTGTAAATCAACTTGTGTAGGTTACTATTCAGTCTGTGTTGGGATTTGCTCATCTTTAAGACGGGGATAATAATATACCTGCATGCCGAGTGTTCAGTGGAATACTGGACACACAACTAAACCTCTCCAATAAACATTAGCTGTCATTATCATCATTATTATTATAACCCCATCTCCATTTCTTTACTAGCTGCCTTTTTTCTCTATGTATTGCACTCTGTCTTTTCTCCTCTCATTCTTCTTAGCTCAACATTTCTAATTAACCTAACTCCTCAGTTGTTCAACATTACTCTTCAGCATTTGGCCTAGTAAATTACCATCTCCTTTTTGAATCTCACCCCTTCTTTGACTTTTCTCATTCTCTTCTTAGCCCTCTAAATTCTTCTGTGTTTCTTGACTAGTTCTATTTTCTTCTTTAATGGGAGTTTTATGCAGTTAATTTATTGGCTCTTTTCCTCTGTGGAGAGCAGGGCCATTGAGTAGTTGGATCCAGAACCCAAGTGCTAATGAAGTGTATTGTGTGGGGAGAGGTTTGGACCACGGGGTTCTCACCAAGAAAGTCAGGTCTTGTGTGGTGTCCAAAGATGCAGTGGAGTAAAGGACTGTAAGGGGCGATAGAAGAAGGTCAAGGACAAGTCTTCATCCATTCAGTATTCAATATTATCACACGTAGTTTTGGGCCAAATTATAATTAGACATTATAAAGGAAGATTTAAATTTGATAAAACATTTATCAGCAATTTGACATGCATCTAAATGTTAGCTTTTTATAATCATTAGACTACTTTTATAGTATAGTATGGTAATTAGTAACATAATTGCTGCAAAATGAATACTGTACATAGCTAATTTCTTGAGTCCGCATCATGATCTGCCATCCTTCTTTCATTACAAATTCCCCTGAAGTTGTCCAGCTGTTTCTATTTTCCAGAGTTCTTTCTATAATTTTATTTCTTCTTCATGTCTCATTGCAACTTTGATTATTGTCTCCTTAAGGATTCTTAAAATCTGAACATGAGAAACTTCACATTTGAGAAAGTGTGAGGATAAGATCCAAGCCATCCCCAAATCAGACAAGGAACTCCATTTTTCTGGGAGATCTGTTGTTTAGCTCTGTAAGAAATGAGGCCTGATGCATCTCATCAGGTGATCAGAGTAGTTTTTCAGTATTTGTTCAAATATGTCTTCTAATGTTTTGAATTAATCTTGATTAATCTTGATTTGAATTAATCTTGACTCTGATATAATTAACTAATAAAGATCTATAGGTTGAGTGTGGTGGCTCATGCCTGTAATCCCAGCACTTTGCAAGGCTGGGGCAGGAAGATCACTTGAGTCCAGGAGTTCAAGATCAGCCTGGGTAACATGGGAAACCCTGTATCTACACAAAATATAAACGCTAGCCAGGCATGGTGGCATGCACCTGTAGTCCCAGGTACCCAGTTGGGTGAGGGGAGGGAAGGGTGGGCTGAGGTGAGAGGATCACCTGAGCCTGGGAGGACGAGGCTGCAGTAAGCTGTAATTGTGCCACTACACTCCAGACTGGGCAACAGATTGAGACCTTGTCTCAGAAAAAAAAAAAAAAAAAAAAAAATCTATATTTTTCCATTGTCTGTTTTGTGAACTATTCCTCCCTGACTTCCACTAAGGGGTCATCTCCTTTGTGCAATATTCCTTGAAAACAGGTTTCCCTTTTTCTTTTTTTCTTTCTTTCTTTTTTATCTTTCCTTTTTTTTTTTTTTTTTGAGACGTTGTCTCGCTCTATTGCCCATTCTGGAGTGCAGTGGCGTGACTCCTTGGCTCACTGCAACCTCCGCCTCCTGGGTTCAAGCGATTCTCCTCCCTCAGCCTCCCGAGTAGCTGGGACTACAGGCGCGTGCCACCACGCCCGGCTATTTATTTTTTTATTTTTTATTTTTAGTAGAGACGGGGTTTCGCCATGTTGGCCAGGCTGCTCTCAAACTCCTGACCGCAGGTGATCTGCCTGCCTTGGCCTCCCAAAGTTCTGGGATTATAGGCATGAGCCACTGCGCCTGGCCCCTGCCTTTTTCATCTTCGAAGTCCAATATCTTTCATGAGTTAGACACCTAGTCAGAAACAGGGAAATACGCTGCAAAGATTCTGATAAAACCTGCTTCTGTTGTAATAAAGGCTAATGATCCACTGAGACTCAGACTCTGCGGGATGGTTAGCCAATGAAAGCACATAATTTACCTCTTGTTTCTCTTTCCTCACAGCGATTGGCCAGAGCAGTGCAGCCTCCTGCCCATCACTTCCCTCTCTCTGAACGTGGTCTCTGTGAACTGGGATTTTGGAAGCGGATTTGCAGGATTGATTACTGGGTATGGAGAAAATGCAGTATCTACATTTTCAGGTCTCATTTGATCCTTTATACTATCAAATGAGTCAGGTAGATTAGATATAACCACATTTCATAAACAAGAAATCTAGAGTTTAAAAAGGTCAAGAGGGCTCTGTAAGATTATTCTGCTAGTGGTTACAAAATTATTCCAATAGTGGCAGTCAGGTCTTCAGACTTATATCCAATCACTGTTACTCTACACACATAGTGTAACAGGTAACAATACCCTATTGTAATGAGTATTATGGAACAATATTACTCTATGTGGTGTCAGTGTGTAACAGTAATGTTTTCCTTTTACAAAAGTAAAGTACATATATATATATATATATATATATATATATATATATATATATATAAAATCTAGTTTTAATTCAGGAATAAATCACTAAGACGCTAAGCCCTCCACTCTACTAGTCAGGAGGCAATCTTTCTAGGAAGTAGACTTGCTTACTTACCTGATGTATTCATTTGGCACCTCAGAAATTGCCTTGTCATTTTCCTAAAATTTTAGGTGAACTTATTTTATTAAGAGGAATATATTTGTATCCAAGATTTACAGCAGCAATTTGATCCTCTAAGTAGGCAACCTCAGTGGTTGGATGTATTCTGATTCAAAATGAACCAAATGACTTTTAAAGTGAAAATCCCCATGTTAAAACCATAAACTTCTCCAGCAGATGATAACTCCCCTTGAGGGTAAATAAATGTCTTAAGTATCTATATTCTTAGCTCCATAGCACTCTGCCTGGTACATACTACATATTTAATAAATATTGAGTAAATAAACAGATGGCTTTGGTCATCATCATCATCTTCTTCTTCTTCTTTTTTTTTTTGAGATGGAGTCTCACTCTGTCACCCAGGCTGGACTACAGTGGTGCCATCTCAGCTCACTGCAACCTCTTCCCCTGGGTTCAAGTGATTCTCCTGCCTCAGCCTCCCAAGTTGCTGGGACTGTAGGCACCAGCACTATGCCCAGGTAATTTTTGTATTATTATTATTTTTTAGTAGAGACAGGGCGTCACCATGCTGGCCAGGCTGGTCTCGAACTCCTGACCTCAGGTGATCCACCTACCTCGGCCTCCCAAAGTGCTGGGATTACAGACATGTGCCACCACATCTAGCCTGATTTTACTCATCTTCTATAAAGATCTACTCTTTACAGATCCACCAGTCAACTACCAAGCAGCTTCCAAGCTTGGGGTTTTGCCATTGCCTCTGGTCCCAGAGCACAAATTCATTACAGAAAAGCCAACAGAGATATAATGGCCAACTCAGGGGTCATTAGATTAATTAGTACACTAAGAAAGGTGTAATCTTCAACAAAGACCATGGCCACAAATACACTTAGGCCCAATTCTGACTAGAAAACATGTAACATCTAAATCCACAGATATTCAAGGGAAATAGCCTACCAATAGAGACACCTAGAGATAGAAGACAAGCACTATGGTAATTGGCATGCTCTGACATTATGTATTTTCTACCTGAGAAAAATTGGGTAGTTTTAGGTGACATATCACCTTTTACTTTGCAAGGGGGAAACTGGCTCTTTCATAAGTTATGTTAGGACCCATTTGTGCTTAATCTCAATGGAAGTCAGTACTGAAAAGGAGGCCTGGACTTCAGCTAAGATGTGAAATCCAAATTCTACAAAAATCAACAAATGCATTTCTTTTTGTAGGGAGAATTTTCCCCAAGGAACAGGAAGAAACAGTCTCTTATGTAACTGCTCAGAAAGGAGGCTTAAAGAAGATACTAGTTCCTTGGAGTCTGTCCTCTACAGATGAGAACCACTACCTGGTAGGCACGGAGAATTCTGAGGAGTTGCCAGACTCTAGTTCAGATACTGCCTCTAATCAGCCTGTGGCCAGGGGTGGGTTAACAGCCTCTTCTCAGGTATATCGTTTCCATCAAAAGCAGCCTGTTCTTTCCTCCCACTCCACAGAGAAACTGCTTCCAACTAGTTCTGAGTCCAGACCTGTTTTCTAAACAGTAACTGCCTAGCTGGGAGGCTTAGCTAGAGACCACTTGTTTATTGTACAAACAAGGTCAAGCTCTTTGTCTAAGGCTCTGCCTCAGCAGAATAGTAAACTTTGTTAAACCCTTTGAGGGAGTTCCGGGGAGTAAAAATAATTTATCTGCATCCATTTCTTCACTGGATGCTTGACCTGCTTTATAGAGCTCTCTCTTCCAACAACTCAGCCCAGTTAAATTATATCTCATATATTTATAAACAAGTTACAGAACATTCTCTTGCAGCTGCACTTGAATTGTCTTTTCACTTCAGGCTTAACTGATCCTCCCAAATGGATATCCAGAGCCAAGAAATATACATTGAGATTATCAGGACCAAGATAAATCTGGCTGAGATGGCCATTTATTGCCATTCATCCATTGATTCATCAAACATATTGTTGAGCACCTAGTAAAAGCTTCTGCATTCTAGGCACTAGGTGCTGGATGCTAGAGCTACAGAGATGGAAGATGTGGTCCCTGCCCTCAAGCTGTGCACAGCCAAATGGAAGGCTTCATGATGTAGTGGGAAAAATAACAGACTTAAAGTCAGACAGATCTGTGTTCTAATCTTGATCCTGCCTCCTATTAACTATGTTAATATATGCAAATCCTCTCTAAAGTTTATCTTCCACATCTATATGACAGAAATAATAATCCTACTTTACAAGCTTGATGTGAGAATTAATGACATAAAGTATAGTACTTGGAACATAGTAAACACTCAGTAGATGACATCTATGTTGTTGTTGTCATCATCATCCTGGGGACAGCCCCATGAATCAACAATTACAATATTGCATGTGACATATGAGGATGGGAGAAGGTACTATAAGAACATAGTCTGCAATGTTGATGAGGAAGAAGACTTACAAGAGGAAGGGAATTGATACCAACCTGAGCCCAGAAGGATGAGTAGCGGAAAGTCGGGCATGAGAAGAGCATTCTCAGAAGGCAGAACAATAGCACATACAAAAGCCTGGGGTGGGGAGGGAGAAACAGGCACTTTCAGGAAATGTCAAGTAGTTCATTGTGTCTGGATCTTGGGATATATGTAGGGAAGTGTTGGGAGGGCTACCAAGGAAAGGAGGGACCATGCTGTCATCTTGGCAATGGCCAAGATGGGCCCTGCACTGCTGCTCTTTCTCTACTACCCTCCCGACCTAAATAACCAGATTGTCCCATGTCTCATAGAGACCATCTCTCTCCGCCTTAGGCTTTACAGATATGGGCTGTTTATTTCCATTTTATGTGTCTTCCCATGCCAGCCACTATAGGTGTCATAAGGGAGGAGCAGGGCTCTTATATATTCTTCAGGAGTTTCTGCTGAGAAGTTTGACCTACATTCCAACGTCATAGCAGGCTGTAAGCTTATTCAACTTCATAAAGTGCTCTGTCAGGTAGGAGAGGGCTTTATGTCTAGTAAGAACGTGAAGAGAAAAATAAGTAACAACTGGTGTGTTCAACTACTGCAGAAACAATTCCTATGGCCAGAGTCTGTTTTTCTCACTGATGGCTTTGACCTAGACATAGCTTGGAAGGAGAAGCTGTAACTTGCTGCTGTGTCCTATAGGCAGGTTCAGTCAAATCAAGGTGACAAGCACTAATTGAGCATGTACCTTGTGTCTAAGACTCTGCCAGGCACTGCAGAGAAAGACTAAAACAGTGGACTGAGTCTCAAAGAGTTTACTTATTGAGTTCTGAGTTCATGGTTACATAGCCAGTAGGCCCAGCAGAATTGGAAACTGAGGTCTGCAGGACTCAAGTTCACACTCTTTCTGTTATGTTACATTGCCCTTTTGGTATTAGGCACAGATAATTTGATTCAGGCACACCTACGAAGCAAAGTACAAGCCATGGCCAATCATGACACTATATGTCTTGTTGACTTAACATGAATGAGCCTGGCACAATAGAAATCTTCATTCGATCAGTGAAAGGAATATCGATTGGCCTTGCGAAGCATGAAGAGGTACAATATGACCAGGAATCTCTTGGTAAGCTCAGCTGACCCTGAAGGGGTCAAAGTTTGGGCTGCCATTCAACCCAGCTCTGGACATAGGAGAAACTTTAGTTAACCCTCACATTTGCCCTCAGAGTAAGTAAAATGGTCTCCAAGAAGCACTTGGGCAGGAGGTCCAATCTGTTACAGTGGGCTATGGAGAACCAAAGGCCAGAAGTAGCTTCAGTTGAGAAGGCTTGTGGACCATTCTGTTGCCTTCATTAGATTTGGTCATTGGTGTCTGCGATTATGTGTCATGCCTTATTGGTGTTGGGGTTGGAGGATGAGGCAGAAACAGCACTAAGAGAGAGACTGATGAAATTCAAAGGCAAAAACTTTGATAGATTAATGGAATCAACCTATATTAGTCTAAAAATTCACTTTGATAAACTATATGTCATTTGACTCTGTTACCTTTAGACACAAAGATTGCATTTTAGACATCAGTGAGTGATACCTGCAATATCAAAAGAGAATATATAACCCGTTTGCCTTACCAAGGGACAAAGTGGAGATATGGCTTTAAATTCAGTCACTTTTAAGGGCTGGAAGAGATAAACATCTATAGAGTTACATAGAATGGAAATTGGGACCCTCTCTACACATTAACAAGGAAAATTGGCCCTAGAAAAGGTAGCCTAAATGGAGTGACTGCACTTCAGACCAAGAACACCAGCTGGCTCACTACAGGGATGTGGAAATAAGATTCTCACTGCCTCTATCTTGGTTTTACTACCTACGTAATGGAGATAATGATACTTCCTTTTACCTGCCTCACAGAATTGTTGAGAAGATGAATAATGCAGCATTTTAACAGGCTCTGAGACCCTTGAAAGATGGCTTTTGTAAGTACTGGGTATGATATTATCATTGTCATTATTACCTTATCACTTTATCTTTGCAGAAAATGATGCTTGGAAAAGCTTGCTGGTCATTTTGATATCAATTTCTGGCCAACTTCTTCTTCCCTAATTTCTTTCCATGCTGATGGACATTAAGCCAATTTAACTATCCGCTCAATCTCCCTAGTGTATCATGTACATCCTGACCTTTGATTCTCTGCTCCCATCATGTCCCCTGCGTGCTCTTCCTCTTCCTCTTCATCTTTCTAAATCTAGCCCTTTTCTCAAGCACTTGGAGAAGCTGGGGAGGCAAGGACTGAGTCTCCGAATGCATCCTATTCAAGCCCAATCAGGTTGGCAACTGCTAGACTTTGCATCAGGTCATTTTAAAGGTCATCAAACTGAAATATAACTTGTACACTCTTCAACTTGATTTTGATAGAGAATTATTTCCTCTGTCTTGCTTCTCTGTGCAACAGTCAGAATTGAAACTGTATATAACATATACATTATTGCGATAGTAATGGGGTGGCTTTGCAGTGACCAAACTTTAGAAGAATGGATGATCTTTCAGATGTGGGTAATAGCTGCTGCAAAGTGGAGAGGTTGTCTGAAGTATCTTCTTCCTGATGTTAGATAATGCCTTGGTTTACAGTAACTCAGTAAGTTTGCAAGAGCCCATTTTATTCCAATGTAACTAAATCTCAACTCAAATTTATGAATAATAAAGTAATCTAACATTAATAGGATAAAAGTTATCTCCTCAAAGCTAGCTTTTCTGTTACTATCAATGGACTTACCGCAAAATATCCCCCAGATTTCTATATGACCCTTTCAACATTACACAGGCTTCAGTATGCAAGGTGATTCCCAAACAGCACACTCCAGGCCCTGAGCCTGAGCTAACTGTCATCACACTATCCTTTATAGGAATTGTTTTTGCTTCTGGTTTCATGATTTGGAAACACTTACTTTGGCTATGTCCATGTGTCAGTGAAACTTCTTCAGTTCATTGTCCTGCACACACTCTTGTTCCCTATGTTCCTTGTTCCCATGTGTTCCTTGTCCACATGGAGGGTGGTATAGTATGAGCTGCTGCAGGCAGCTTGAATGGTTTTTAACTCCCTCGGAAGAAGGTGACCTTTGAGTTAGTGTCCTAATGTTCTTATAAAAGGTGCCTCACATTTGTCTACTGTATTTGGAGGAAACCTCCAGCCATTACCTAGAAGTGCTAAGAAAGGATCACTCGAGTCAGCTTTGTATTAAGGACAGATGTAAAGGTGGTAGACCAGAATGAGACATGGAGAAGCTGGTCCTCCATCACGCTCTCCATCTATTAAAATCCTACTCTTCTTCCAAGATCCTTATCATCCCTAACTAAACTGATTTCCCTCACCTCTGTATTTCTATACACTTAATACTCTTCTTATGACATTTACCAATTAGCTGTGTCACCAATAATTTGGCATAATGTTAATAATCAAGAAAACTTTGCATTTACATGATGTTTTAAGGTATATGAAGTTTCACAGCATGTACTATTTCATTTGACCCTTACAACTTCTTAGAAAAATTTGTTACCTCTGTAAAACTTATTTTCTTCCTCTGTAGAAAGGAGTTGCTTCTTTCTTAAAAGAATTGGAAAACGTATTTATGTTGTCATTCTGGGGAAAAAAATACTCATTCAAATTAAGCCTTACAAAATCACGTAATCAAATAATGCTCTTCGGGTCATTGTGAGGAGTAAATGACCTAAGGGATGTGAAAACTGATTTGTGAAATATAAAGGCACATCCAGATGCAGAACCACAAAGGCCCTAAGGTTTCTGGTGTTTGCGACTGGGTGCCAAAACAGAGATTTGAAGCAATACATGACAGGGAGAAGATTTACCTGTTCTAAATCTTCTAGATGTAGAATCTAGAATATAGATGAACTCTAATCTATCAGAAGAGTATCTGATATGGCATCTATCTGTATAACTGGTCAAACTTAGGGGCTGGTGCTCAGGGAAAAATGTCAGTCCTAGTAGGTGTGAAAGTCAGTGGAATGTAGGCAGTAAGTGAAGACAGGAGTGTGAATAACATCAATGGAAGAGAATGCAGTATGAGAGAAGCCCAAGAGACCCCTTGGGATGGAGTCTCTTGGGAAAGGAAAGGAGTTGGCTGAGGAGAAGCTGAACTGGCAAGAAAAACAAAGGAAGAAATTCCAAGTTAGATACTAGATGTCAAATGAAAGGAAATGAAATTTTGGATTAGAAGCTTAAGAGGCCATTGGGAACTTTCAATATTCTAGTGGGTTGAGGAGAGAAAGGGACATGAGAAAATGGTAACAGTTAGTGGAGAGTTTGCATTGTAGGCTGTCCTTTTGAAAAAAATGGTGATGAAAGGAAACAGAAGATTGGATGGTAGCTTTGGGAAGAAAGAAATAAGACCAAGGAAATGAAAGAAAGAATAATAGCTAAGGCTTAATAATGATTTATGTCAAATATCAAACACGTAGCACTTATAGAATGCCAGGCACTGTTCTAAGTAGTTTATGAAAATTAATTCCATCCTCATCACTACCCTATGAAAGAGTTATTATTATTATCCCTATTTTACAGATGAGGAAACTGAGGCATGGAGTGGTTAAGTAAATTTCCCAAAGCCACATAGCAACAACAGAACTGGTAATTAAACTATAGGCAATCTGGTTCAAGAGTCCAGGTTTTAATTCATTTACCTTTCCTTTTATAATAATTTTGTAGTAACCAAACCATTAAGGAAGAAGTATTAAGACTTTTTCTTATTTTTAATGAGAATGATTTCAACTCACTTGGATACTAGGAAGAAGGAGCCAGCACCCTAAGAGATGAATAAGAATTTCTGAATAATAAAGAGAATAAGATCCCAGAGCGCATGAGTGGCTATGGTTGGAAAGTGTGTATAAAGCAGTTAGTCTTGGGCAAGAATTTGTAATAATTCTCTCTTAAACAGGAGGAAAATAGTGAAAATAGAGATTTTAATTTTGAGGTTTTGAGAAGGGAATTTGAGCAAATCCATTTCAGATGGATGCTAGTAAAGTTTCTACTGAGAGATATTGGAGGAGTGGTTCAGGACTTGAGTAGAAAAAGCTGTAGCTTCCTAAAATGCAATGAGGAGTCAGCTTTTACCAAATTGCACTGAGAGCTGACTGAGTCCACCTGGTATGATTACTAAACACCTCCTGTATTCAAAGCCATATGCTGGGATCTCAACCTCCATTTGTCACAGCTTTTAATCAGTTGAGAAAAATATAGAAGAAGCACTTAGGAAACAATAGAAGACAAGATCAAATATCACTTGTGCGGCTTAATGCTTTTTATGGAGCTCAGAGAAGGGAGCGGTCAGAGGAGTTGGAGAAAGGCTGTAGCTTGAGCTGGTCCTTAAAGATCAGGAGAATTTGGGGGATAGCGTTGAAGGCACAATTTTTGGTGGTGGAGAAAGTGAGAAGAACAGAAGAATCGAAGGAAGAGAGGCAGGCATTAAGAGGTACTCTTGGGGCCAGGCACAGTGGCCCATGCTGTCAGGCAGAATTTTGGGAGGCCAAGGCAGGAGAATGGCTGGAGGCCAGGAGTTAGAGACCAGCTTGGGCAACATAGTGAGACTCCCATCTCTTATTTAATAAAGAAAAGGAGGCACTCTTGGTAAAAGCACAGGGACTAGGGGCCAGGAAAGCAGTGATAGTTCAGGCCAAAAGATAATCCTACCCAATGACCCACACCTGGTTGGATCCCCTCAGGCCCCACCATCAGTCTTCTTAGCTACTTCATCCCTGCCTTGCTTTTCTCCGTAGCAAGAATCACTTCCTGATACACCATATTAAAATTAATTTATTTATATTTCCTAGAATGTAGGCACTGTGAGGGCAAGAATAATTGTTTGAATCACTAGTGTATCTCCTAGGTCTACATCAAGTTTGGCTTATAAAAGGCTCTCAGTAAAGATTTGCCCAAACAAATACAGCAGCAGTCTCAGGGGTTACCTGGGGTCCCTCCAGCATAGGCTCAGGAATTTTTGGCTCACAACCTGCTGTGAAGAAAAGCCTGACCTAGACAGAAGTGACAGCCTGCTTCTCAAACAGAAGCTCTTTAATACCCAGGTGACAATAAAACTCTCAAAAATTAAAGGCAAGGAAGGGTTCCTCTAGAACTGGGGACTGAGGAAGGCTTCCCTGAGGAAGTGGGGGAGAAAGTGTTTAAGAACTGGTGGATTTTAAGCTAATTGATCAGAATGGTTTAAGTCCTTACCAAGGCCTTTACAGGGGCTGCATCAGCCCTGGTAAAAGGGACAGTTTGTTCCAGAGTTCTCTCCTAGGGAAGGAGCCTTTCCTCAGATCCTGGTCCAGGTAACAAAAGCCTCTTGTATTTTTACCAGTTTTTAAAGACTGTCCAATAGGGAAAAAATAATTTTTGCTCCAGACATTAAAGTTTAAAATTGGCCTCAAAGTAGGAAACAAAGCACATATTGCTCAGAAGCCAAGAGTTACACGTCTAAGCAGTGCCCAGTGATGAAGTTGATCCATGGCTGGTATTGCCATTGTTCAGAAAGCATTTACATGATCCTGGGTCTGGGTCCTGTGCCCATCTCGAGCTGCCAGTTCCTTCAGGCATTAGCAGAGTTATATAAATGAATCAGCCTCTCTATGAAGGGGTAATTCCATTTTCCTGTTCTGTAAAATGAGTATGAGAGCCCTCACTTGCTCTCCACAGCCCCACGTCTGCAGAAGGAAGGAGCTCTGCTCTCACCTGTGAACACCTTGTGTTCCATAAAAAGAGAACATTCGCTGTTAGTCAGTGGTACTGCTGTTTTGAAAGCCTATTGGCTATTTGTCAGGAGAGGTCATTTGTCACGAGAGGTGAGCTGGCAATTTTCTGAGAACCTTGGCACATGCCTGCAATTTCCCAGGGAGAGGCCTTTTGGCTTTTAATTTTCTTCCCCCAGAGAAAACCAGAAAGGTCCCCACCCCCCACAGCTTTGTAAAA